AAAAAAAAAAAGAGGGAAAATTAACAATAAAGAAACCCAATCGAGAAACCTAAAATCGTGTGTGGAATCAGCTTCGGCCCAATCGAGAAACATAATCTACTTTTAACCTTCCAAACAGTTTTGGGTATACATAATTGCCCCCGTTTCGGATTTAAGGTTTCACTCTCGTCTCTAACAATCATCCGTTTGGTGACGAGTTGCTCATCCTACTGCAGGTAGAGTTCTGTGTTATCTTATTTTGCTATCGGGTTAATTGTTGCAGTTTTTTCTCTATTTTTATGAAAATTTCACGCACATTTTTTTTTTTTTTGGCTGATTTTTGCCTCGAATTGGCGCCGTGTTGCTCTTGCGTCTTCAACAGCAATCCCTCCTGAAAGATGTCGGCGGTGCGTTTCGATTTTGTCATTCTTTTCATTGTATATCTCATCAATGAGATTTCTTTTGAGAGTTGCTAATAAGTTTTTACATTGTACTTGTCATCCATGGGATTTTTCAAACGACATGGGTTTCCAAGAAGATTTAACTCCAGAGATGTGTTCCAATTCTTCACTCTTCCTTGGAATTAAGAGGGCAGCAAGCTCCGAGGCATTAGCTGCTGTCGAGATGAAAAAGTCGAAAGGGGTAGGATTCAACTTGATTAATTCACGTATATGATGTGTAAGAATATAAAACCCAAGTGTTTTCTAGAAGATTTTCTTGTTAGGCAAGCAAAATAAATTAAATGGAAGTTTTCTATTTAATTAAAACCCAAAGTATTGTTTTATATAAAATTAAATTATTTTAGTTTTTAAAAAAAATAAAAAATTTAATATTTTTTACAAAAGCTTTCTAATTCAACACCCATGTAATACACGGATATTGTACTAGTAATAAGATTATTTATCAATATGAGCTAGGAAAGTAAAATTATTGATCAATTAATATATTAATGTTTAAAGTAGTTATATGATATAAGTTAGAAAATTTATTATAATATAATACATGTACGACGTACAAGTTACAAGTGTCATTCTAAAATACATCATAATATATATTTTTTAAAAAAATATTTAAATTTTAAAATACTTTTTTCTCCTTAATTTTAAAATTTAAAAATATTTTGTTTTAATAAGCTCTCGTGTAATACACAGGTATTGTATTAATACCATATTATTCTTCAATTTAGTTTGCTAGTATTATTCTAATTAAGTTACATAATGTCATACATTTGCAAGTATTTTCACAAGATTGAATACGTACTATTATTCTAATAAAGAGGAATGGCCCAAACAACAAACTAGCATGGTGTGGACTCGGGCCAACCGGGTTCGGCCCAGTTTAAACAGTTTTGGCCTTCGGGTATACATAATTGACGCTGTTTAAGGTTTCACGCTCGTCTCTATTCTCTAACAATCACCCGTTTGGTGACGATTTGCTCACCCTACTGAAGGTAGAGTTCTGTGTTCTCTTATTTTGCTATCGGGTCGATTGTTGCATCTTTTCTCTATTTTTATGAAAACTTCACTTTTCTTTTTTGTTGCTGATTTTGCCTCGAATTGGCGCCGTGTTGCTTTTGCGTCTTCAACAGAAATCCCTCCTGAAATATGTCGGCGGTGCGTTTCGATATTGTCATTCTTTTCATTGTATATCTCATCAATGGGATTTCTTTTGAGAGTTGCTAATAAGGGTTTACATTGTATTTTCATCCATGGGATTTTTCAAACGACATGAGTTTCCAGGAAGAGTTAACTCCAGAGATGTGTTGTGATTCTTCACTCTTCCTTGGAATTAAGAGGGCAGCAAGCTCTGAGGCATTAGCTGCTGTCGAGATGAAAAATTCGAAAGGGGTAGGATTCAGCATGATTAATGTATATCTTATTATTTTTGGACTACTTATTCATTCCATTTGCTGCTGTTAATTGATGATTTGGGGCTAACAGTATACTAGTACATTGTTTCGGCTATGTATGTCTGACATTAAATAACACGAACGAGCAGTTAAGCAGTTGTCTGTGTGCTTGTGTGTTAAAATCTACAGTCCAGTTTCCTTTTCCTGGTTGGTTGTTATTGAGTAGTTATACACTTCCTGATTGAATTGGTGAGCTGTTTTCAGAGCGTGGATACTGCAGACCCACTGGCTAAGGTTTCGTTGTCTGATTTTGGATTTACGCCTGAAAGTATACAATCCTATCCATCTTTCTCTGTCATTTATTCTCTGGCGCAGGTAATCTTCGTCATTTATATCTTGTTTTGTTTAAGGATAGACAGAAACAACAATGGTGTTCTGTTCTGTTGTAAATAAACTCTCTCTCTCTCTCTCTCTCTCTCTCTCTCTCTCTCTCTCTCTTATTTTGCAGAAACCTGGCCTTGAGTTTATGGCTGGCATAGTGAAAAACATCTCAAGGCTGAAGTCGCAAGTGGTAAATATTTTCTATGTGCTGAATCTTGCTGTTGGAGATGATCGATTTGTAGACCATCTTGGTCGGCTAATTGTGAACCTTTTAAAAGATGAAGCATTTCACCAGGCATTTGTTGGGTACATATTGAGGTATTCTGTGCAGTTACAATATTTTTTTCGTGGGGACAAACCTAGTACTTCAAATAAAATATATCATTCTTATTCTCGCATCTTCTTATTTGAAGGATCAGTATCCGGGTGTGCTCGCCCTCGTAGAGGCTTACTCAATGCAAAATAGTGACCAAGAACGAGTTGAGTGTCTCAGGAGAGACGCCGGATTGGGATTCGTTTTGCAACGCAAAACAGACACCATTGACTTTATGAGGTGATCATTGATATCTTCCATTTGTAAAATGAATATATTGAATTTTTTTCCTGTATTGTTGGTTTTATTTATCATGGTTCTAGTTGCATGCTTCAAATAATTATGTTCTGTGCTTTGGCAAATTAATCTTTTGTGGCACAAGAAACCTATGGCAATAATGCTTTGACACTCGACCAATTTTCTTAGCGTATGATGTCACTTTAAAAGTTCAAAGCATTATGCAATTTCCCTGTGAGTTTTAGCTTCCTTGTGGAGAGAAAGTCTCTTGATTGAGCTGCACATTCAAGTGTATCAAAATAACATTCTTTTCCTTATATCATGCCAACATATCAGAGAACTTCACTTGTTCCGGTTTCGAATCCCCCATGCTGAAATTATATGTGCATCATGCGAGCCCTTTTTCTTTTTGGATCGATTGAGATAATTAATGTTGTTTGTGAACACAACATACAAGTCAGGATATACTCTGTATAAGTGCAACAAGCCTTAATTTTCCATGATTACGAAGAAATGAATCAACTGCAGTTTCTAGGGAGGGACAGAAGCATAAGCCTATGGGGTCTCTTGTGTGATAGAATAGCCGGATGCATTTTTGTATGACATGGAAGCATCAAGTGTCAATTTATAGATACGCTCATTTATTTCTCTTTATTTTTCATCATATTGGGGTACTGGAGTAGTCCATGGTTCTGCAGCAAGTTGCGTGAAGCGGTTAATGGAAATGATGCAGCCAGGGAAATTCAACCATTGGAAACTCCTTCCAATGGTTAAGTTTTGCAGCAAGTTCCGTCTCTCCTTGCAGATAGATCGTGATAAAGATCTTTACGAGGTAGGCCTCCTATCTTTCCGCCCCACAAGTACGATAAAATGGTTCACCATTGACTGGTTGGACGAGGAGGAATTCTATATTGGTATGTCCAGTCACTCTGAACACCCGTACCCTGGTTGCAGTCCAGTGTGATTGTTCGTTGCAACTAGGTGTTTTACTACTTTTACTATGGTGAGAAACGCTTTGTGACCGTTGCCTATGGCACAGCCAAGGGCGCCTTGCATTAACAGAACATTGATTTGACTAGGTAAATGTATGGTAGTGTTTAAACATGATGCATAAATAGCAAATTTATATGTTGAAAGTACTTATATATATTATTTGTACAAAGTTTTTAATTATGACTTGTACAAATAATCAATTTGGTTTTAGCTTATTCTTTGTTTTACTAGTTGATTTTTAGATATACGCACGTGTTTTTATTTATATATCCTATTGTTGTGGTAAAAAAAAAACTACACATAAAATCGGTTGACACACATGAAACACCTATGATTACGAACCACCGGAAGTTTGACACATTACTGAAGCTTTGCATTAATATCACTAAAAATATCTTTGAATTAATATAGGGATTGCTCTAGTAAAAATGAATTTTAATTGAAGGCTGATATATAGAAAAAAAAAATTCAACGCCCTTGTCAATGTGTGTTGATTTTGAATAGATTTCATCATACACAACTTTTGTTTTTTGTTTTTTTTGTTTTTTTTTTTTCTTTACAATTATCAGTAACAAAAGTAAGAAAATATAAATTAATCATAATTATGTATTTTACCACTCACAAATTTTTAATTGTCCATCTTATTATTATTTTTATAACATCAATTTTAGTTATGAGTTATTTTGGTTGACCATAGTTATTTTTTTAAAAGTTGGTATAGTTTGTTGTTAGTTGAATTTTAAGAATGTATTAAAATAATATTTAAAATAAAATGATTAACATTGATTTGATGTAAAAGTTGGAAATAAATGATTGAAAATGATAGGTAGTTAAAATTATTTGAGTTGATGAATAGTGAATTAAAGTTGATGTGATGTGTAAGAATTATTAGTTTGTATTATTTAATTATATGAATAGTATTAAAGATATTGAAGTTGAGTTAAAATTGAGTTAAATTTTGAGATAATTTATCGAGATAATTTTATTTTTTTTTTTAAAAAAATCTTCAACCAAAAAAAGAAGAAAAGGGGGGGAAAGACGTGAAAAAATCTTCAACAAGAAAAAACAAAAAAGGAGGGAAAATTAAGAATAAAGAAACCCAATCGAGAAACCTAAAATCGGGTGTGGAATTGTTTCGCCCAATCGAGAAACCTTAAGGTTCCAAAACAGTTTTGGGTATACATAATTGCCCCTGATTTAAGGTTTCACGCTCGTCTCTAACAATCACCCGTTAGGTGATGATTTGCTCATCCTACTGAAGGTCTCTGTGTTCTTATTTTGCTATCGGGTTGATTGTCGTATTTTTTTCTCTATTTTTATGAAAATTTCACACATTTTTTTTTGGCTGATTTTTGCCTTGAATTGGCGCCGTGTTGCTTTTGCATCTTCAACCGCAATCCCTCCTGAAAGATGTCGACAGTGGGTTTCTACTTTGTCATTCTTTTCATTGTATATCTCATCAACCTTAAACCTAAAGTTGATCTATGTAAATCTTGTTACCCTGCATTGTATGTTAAAACAATGATTTCTATGTCTTTTGTGTAAAGCTCGGACCATTGTCTGATAAGAAATGAGCTTCGGTTATCCTTGATAACTGAATAAAAGATGATAGATTTTTCTATGGAAGTCGATAATATGCTGGTTCAGGGTACCCCCACTCGGTTATTACATACAACGGAAGGCATTGAAGGAAAAATGCTTAATTGTACCAAAAAAAAAAAAAAGGAAAAATGCTTAAATTTTTATGTGAAGAGCTCAGTATTAATCATCAAGCAAGGGTTGTGGCCTTATTGACGACAGCCCTGTCGTCGACAGGAGAAACCCCATTTTTCCTGGCATACGGGTCCGAGGCAATGATCCCGGTAGAGCTCAACACCCCCAGCGGCGGACGCAGAATTTTCCATCAGCCAGGGCAAAATGAAATGAAGAAATACTAATTTTTGTTTTTTTTTAATTCAAAAAAAAAAGATTACAACTTTTCAGTTTTTGACGGGAATATAATTGTCCACGACGCGATTTCATATTTAGACGACAAAAGAGTTGAAGAATCTTCTAAATTTTACGCCTTTCGATAATACTTCTCCATTAATGTAAGTCTGCAATCAACAATTGATTTCATTAACATAAGAAATTACCAAATTCCAACTTCAACATCCAACACACTCATTTATAAACAAAAATCAATTCAAGACCGAGACCAAATTCAAACCTCAACATTCAACAAAGTCATTTACAAATAATATTTCAATTCAATTCAGTTATTGCATAAATTGTACGCACACTGCACACCGAATTGCCGAGAAGGCTGCCCGATCGACCGAGACTAAATCTACAGTAAAAAGAGAAAACAAACATAATATAATACACACAAAACTCTGAGTTTAACAATAATAAAACAGAAACTCCATCGACTTTCATAAGCTTCTCGATGCTCCTATCTTTGCAATCACCCACCGAAGGCCAACTTCGCTTCGTCAATTACACCTTTCCTCTCCTTTTAGTCGAGCCCTCACCTTCTATTTTAGTATTTTTAACCATTTTGTGTAGAATAATTCTCTATTTAATACCAGAGTCCAGAGAGATACATAATTTAGGCCGTGAATTTATGTTCCACCCAGCCGCAGGCCCGCATACGCAACTCAGCCTGGGAGAAAAATACTGGCCGTATAATTCAATTTCCCTTTGGCTTTGGCACGTTATCTCCATTCTCTCCCACATCATATACCAACATTTATCAAATCAAATGCAATAAAATTATTAATTAAACATGATATAAATTTTACGCAAATATTGGTTTTATTTAGTACTAATTCTACTCCCATAACCTGACCGCCTTATAAGAATTCAAAAAAAAGAAATGATATGAATACTCAAACATATAAAACACTTACATTAGAACTAAAATGGAGAAATCTCGATCAAACAATTCAGGCAACAATCCCGTCCTCATTCCCGTCAGTAGTCCTTGAGATTGAGAAGGATTTTTTTTTTTTTTTATTCAATGTATTGATTCACGAAAAGGAAAAGCAGACAAATTAAAGGAAGATGAGAGTTGAATGGTGTTCAACTGTCAATTTTGAAATCAAAGAATCCTTAAAAAATTGGGGATCTTGTCTTTAATTCTTTCGCAATTGAGAAGCAGGTGAAGAGGCTGGGATTTTTTTATTTCCTATGTGTCTGTGTGCGTGTGTAGGGGTTGGGTTATTTGATTTATCATTTATTTATTATTTTTTTTTTACATTTAAAGAGAAACGACGTCGTTTTGGCTTAATTTTTTAATTAAGTAAAAGCCAAAACGATGTCGTTTTATAGGCTAATTAAATAAAAAAAGAAAACCTCTTACCATCTTCTTCTTCATTCTCGGCGCGCAGAGATTCTTTTTTTTTGCCATCTTTCACCAAGAAAATTCTATTAAAATAATAACATATACTTGGCAGTAAAAATTGAGCCTGGGCTCGCCCATGTATAAATCCGCCACTGAACACCCCGACCTACCGAGTAAGCAACTTCGAAGAAATCACAAACTCCGAATCCCTATCGGCCAAATAATTAATGAACTTCTCAATAAAAATTATCACACACGTTTTAAATACAAACCTAAAAAAAAACATTAATTGCATGAGAGAAAGCAACCATGAAAAAATAAATTCTGTTTGTACTTGATTTTGTCAAAATCATTTTTTTTAAGGTAAGCCATTATTTTTATGGTAACACGTTTTTGTGGTACAAAATTCCTTTAGATATACACAAATCTCATTTAATTTGTGTTTTTCACTTTTTTCTTTATAAAAACTGATTGACACAAATTCATTGTTAATAAAAACGATTTTCTATTTCTAATCATATAAATAAATCTATTTTTTATATTTGTTCTATTTTAGTACCATAATAAGCCGTTTTCTATTAATACTAATTATTTTCAACTACAAAATATACAAATTAAATCATATTTTTCAATGATCTTTTTTTTTTTTATTAATGTATCACGATTTTTGTGGTGAAACATCTTTTAGATATTCATAAATCAAGTTTTATTAGTATTTTATCTTTCTTTTTTTCTTTTAATAAAATTTGATACACACGATTGTTCATATTAATTGTTTTGGACTACAAATGAGAATGCTCTAATAAAAAATATAAATATAAAATGCAATTTTTATGGAAATCTGATTAACAATTGTTTCTATTCATAAATAAATCTCCTATTTGAACGCAACATTTTTTTTTAATATTGTTAAGCAATAGATAAAATCTAATTTTAAACGTGACAAATTCATTTAAAGATACTTATTATATTTACTCAAAAAATTGGAATAGAATTAGCGATACAAATGATACTAAGAGAATAAAAGAAATAAACAAAAGTCTATTAATCATGGTAACATTATTTTTAAATTAGAATGCTATAATAAAAAATATAAATATGAAATGAAACCTTTATGAATTTTATTTTACAAGTGTTTATATTTGTATAAATAAATCTCTTATTTGAACGTAATAATTTTTTTTTTCATAGTTTTTTCATAGTGTTATGGAATAGTTGTAATCCAAATAATCATTTATACGTAAAAAGTTTATTTCAAAGATTACATTTCAAATTATTCCAAATATTGGAATTAAATTGGTGATTAAATGAGACTAAATAATTAGAAGAGATAAACACACAATCCACTAATCATAGTAACAATCTTTTTAATACGGCCCTAATATTCATTTTTATTCAACTACAAATCATACTAATTAAATCAGAGATTTTTAACGATTTTTTTTTTCTTTATGGTATCACGAATTTTGCGGTGGAAATCCTTTTCTTTTTGGTATCATTCGAATAAACAAAATATGTGATATTTACTACACCAGGAAATGTTATCACTTTAATTTCACACCATATTTTTTGCTTTGACACAAATATGAGTCTTATAAATATCCAATCAAACTCATACGATAAAAACAACTTACACAAAAATA